CATTCATTATTCATGTATATTTTAAGTTTTATAATAGACATAATATTTTACTATAATATATATATAAATAACTTATAGGTACAATGAATATATTTCAAACGATTTTACTGATAGGAAGGTGCAGACAAAAAATGTAGGATTCCCTCCTGTAATGAAGCTACTAGCACATGGATGACAGTTGAAAACCCAAAAGTTGATATAATCTGAGAAACTCTAGAATACAAAATGGGAGACCAAATATAGAAAGACAAGCAAAAGACAAGCATCATTAAGAACATAGAAAGAAACACGTTCCAACATAAAAGACAGGCATGTAACAGTTAAAAAGATAGGAATGAGTGTTATCACAGAAACTAGAGGTGAGAGTCTAAATAATAGCAAACAGTGCAGTTTGGTCAGGAATATAATTAAGAAATGTCCTTTAGAATTGGTATTTGGAGGTTCGTTGTGATTTTAGTGAGAAAGAAGTTTCCGTGAAAAGGTGGAGGCAGAAGAACAATAACTGGGAGGGAACTATATAGAAGCGTTAACAATCTAAGACACCACTCCACCAGATATCTCTTAGAAGAAGGGTCTTCTTATGTAATGGAAGCTTAAGCTTCTCCCATCTTGGTTTACTATCCATTCTTTGATTGAACCTTGCTCTTTCAATCTTCCAGGACTTCACTCATGTGGTTCTCCAGGCTATTAACCTTCCACATGATCTCTGACTATTAAAATCCTACTTACCTGCAAGATTCATGTGAAATGCCACCTTCATTGACACATCTTTCTTTCTTCCTTCTGGCTATTATTTACTTCCTTTGCACTATTCTCACATTGTAAGTTTACCCTTCTTTTATAAGGCTTATCATAATGCTTATTATAATGATATTATATATATACCAATTAACCAACCAACCTCACTGCCATAGAGTTGGATCTGATTCATAGCGAACCCTCCTTGGCCTTCCAAGGTGATATCACTATGGAAGGAGATTGCCCAACCTTCCTTCTGAGGAATGGCTGGTGGATTTGAACCACCAGCCTTCTGATTAGCAGTCAAATGTCTTAGGCATTATGCCACCAGAGCTCATATATACTATACAAAAATATATAATATATGATATGTAGCATATAATTATATAATGTTTATTTTAGATTTGCACTCTAATTAGTACTATAAATGTCTTTGTCCCCTGCTAGATTATGAGCTTATTGTCAGGAGCTATTTCTAATATCTTCAAACTTCTTACCCCCACACAACTCTCACATCATGCCCCCTTGTGCCTATTGTCCAATCCAAACCTTGTATTTTATGAATATTTGATATGAAAGTTGAAGAAAATTTTAATTTTAACAAGTAAGTTTGTAGCGTGTCTCTAAGTCCATTTTTTTATGACAAACTGAAAAGATGTATAAATGATCCCTAACTTAGGGATATTTAATCAAGACATACAAGGAGAAGGATAGATAAATTGCCCCTAATTGAGGATAAAATGTGTTACAAAAGCAACTAAGTACCATGTAAATCATGAAGAGAAAAAATCAACTCGATTGAAAGGGTCTGAGAAAGTCCTCATGGGAGTCATCAGACTGAATTTAAGGATGAGGATTGGAGTGGAAAGAGGGAGAAGAAGGTATTCTACAGGAGTCAACAGCATGAGCAAGTTCATGGAGTAAAGGCTGAACTGAGTGCACAGAGGAACAGTGAGGTACTGTGCATTGTCAAGTGACCTGAGTTTGAAGGAATAAAGGAAGGGGAGAGTTAAGACACAGGCAAAATGCAGAGTATCTTAACTACCAAAACACAGAAAATGGATTTAGTTTGAAAAATCCTGAGTGACCATTAAAAATTCTTGAGCACAGGATTATCATTGTTTTCATTCATTAAACAGCTATTTATTGAGCTCTGGGTGGCATAGTACCTAGGGCATTTGACTGCTAACCAGAAGGCTGGCCATTCAAACCCACCAGCCACTCCTGGGAAAGAAAGTTTGGCGATCTACTTCCTTGGTGATACCGCATAGGAAACCCAGGGAGGGGTATCTATGAGTCTGATCTCGAGAGTAGTCAATTTTTTTTTTTTTTTTTGCCAAATCGCTGGGTACTAATCTAGATGTTGGGAATACAATAATGAACAAAGCAGAAACAGTTCCTCACCTCTTAAATCTGTATGCTGATGGTGCTGTTCCGCGGAAGGAAGATGGGACTATCTACTTCCGTAAAGATTTACCCCTTTGGAAACCCAAAGGGAGTCACTATGCGTTGGAATCTATTTGATGGTGGTGAGTTTGTTTTGGTTTTTTGGAATGGTGGTAATAGAATGAGGGTGATAGATTACACATGTACCAACAGATACATAGATAGTATCTTGAGGAGTGATTAATTGTATAAAGAAAGACGAGGGGGAAAAAAAAAGAAAAACAAACAATGAGGGTGAACAGAAAAGTTAAGATAACAAGTTAAGTAATTCATTGAGACTGAACAGAAATATCAAATTTTTCCCAATGAGAGCTTGAAAGACATGGGGGCAGATTCAATTCACTGAGTGAAGAAGTCAATAAACTTAACTGGACTCACCACACCTTTTCATCTTTTCTTCACCAAATCTTATTTATTTTTGATAAGCTATATTAAACCTACTTCAACCAAAAGTAGTCAAACAAGTCTCAGACTTTTTTCTGCCCATTTAACATTTGACGTACATAATGTTGAACAGGATTTTTTAATTAGAACAATGATTACATAGCAACTACCAATAAGATTACCATAAACGTTGTTGTTGTTGTTATGTGCCGTCAAGTCGGCCCCGACTCATAGCGACCCCTACTTGGGTTTCTAAGGCAGTATCACTACGTAAGCAGGATTGCCCAACCTTCCTTCCCAGGAGTGGCTGGTGGGTTTGAACCGCCAGCCTTCTGGTTAGCAGGCAAGTGTCTTAGCCGCTATGCTACCAGAGCTCCCCCATAAAATAAACATTAGTGAAGGTCATTTGTTATAACAACAGCGTGTTACAGAACATCTTTAATTAATGTCACATAGTTTCTATGTTTTGGGGATTGAATTTCCATGAAATTCAAGAAAATCAATTTAGTATTGGATGGAAAATGAGCTTTGCACTCTAATTTTAGTCACTGACTTACTGGTAGTCCCCACGATTTTCATTCTTTTAAAGTAAAAAGACAAACTTAGTTAACTTATCAATTTATGAGATATTGTGATTGAATTCAGAAAATTTTATAGTCTTTGAAGAAAGCAGAAATGTGGTAGGTAGATATGCTTGCACATGATTATTGTAATTAGTGTCACTAAACTGTACACTTGAAAATCATGAATTGGCAAGTTTTGTGTTACATATGTTTTTGCAAAGTCAGTTCAAATAATAGAAAGATACCTAAATTTTTTTAAGTTAAGGGTTTTGAATAATTTCCTTTGTAGGCTCATTTTAGAAATTACTGATGTATATGCTCACAGACCTGAGAGGTCCCACAGTATCTTTAGAAGGATACTGATAATAAGTTCACTTATCCCAGGTGATCAAGGTGGAGCTAAGATTTGAATAAATTACTTATTTTTGGATAGCATTTTACATTTCTTTTATGGAAATATGTCACTGTTAATCTCAAAATGCTTATGATATAGTAACAAAA